CTGATTCTTCCATAAAGACTCTGTGGGTAACCAGACAAAAGTTCTAAAGTGCACACAGTGGAATAATGACTACTAGGGCCTGTTCACATCTTGCATCTACATGCGTTTTTGGTGATCGGATCACATTCAGATTTTATTTCACGACATGAATCGGCAGGTGTAAACACACCCAGGACATATGGTGATCAGATTCTGATCAGATCATTCAGACCACATTTAGAGGAGATCAGAGATGGATCTTGACCATCTCTGATTCAACAAAAGTGTAAATGTGCATTTTCAATATCCGTATACAATTATGTGAGCGGAAATGCGTCTGCCAAGCGCCAATTAAGCAGGTGAGAATCAACAATAAAAAGAGAGACAGAGGACACACAAGACTGAAGTTCTCCGCCAAAGTATATGCAGATATGATCCGGACACAAAACTCATGTTAACGCAAGGTGCAAACAGGCAGTTAGAGTCATAAACCTTCAGTTTGTGTCATAAATGTAACAAAAAAACCACCTCTGTGATAATGCTAACTTTCGCTAGCACCCCTGTGGGATTCAAGTAGTACGTTAGTGCTAAGCTAACTTTTTGAACTCATAACAAACATATTAATATATACAGTGGGATCCAAAAGTCTGAGACCACTAGTGAATGTGCTTTTCCTTTCTAATTTAAGACAAGGTTTTTCATTAAAAATTATATTATAGGCGTAGCAATTTGAGTGAAAAGTAGAGTCTTTGAAATTTTAACGTGAATTTCAGAATTTTTTAGGATTCGTTACTTTTGCTTTAATAACAATGTGCACTTGGGAACTCCAAACGTTCATGCAAAAGCCTCTGAAGACCACCTAAGAGTGGTTTAAATACAAGCTTCAATGGAAGCAATTTGACTAAAATAAGTCTGGCCTTTTTGTACAAACCTCTTAACATCGTCAATGTCACAAATTTGCTTAAATTTGGATAGTGACCTAGAAATAGTGCAGAATCCTGAATATTTCTTTCATTTTCCTTGTCATAACCTTTCTTTGTTTTAAAATTTTCAAACTTCCAAACATTTCTGTTGTTTATTTTCAGGTTTAAATGAAAAGCATCCCAGATTTACAATATCATCTCAAACTTTTTGACCCCACTGTACTTTGTAGCACTTTTACAGTGACTTTTCCAGTAAAAAGCCCTGGCTGGAGCTTCACTGATTGACATTTCTGACAACGGACTGAAGCGCTATGGTTAGGGTACCACTTGTATTTGCAGTCAAAGAAGTATCTAGGACTTCCATAAGCCTAGAGTGACATTTTTTTCACAAAATTTGTTGCAGCCAAAGCTGTTTCTTTTACCATCCTTAAAACTAAATCACAAAAAACCACAGTTCTTTCACTGAAAAATGAATCTTCATGTCCATAATGTATTATTAGCCCCCACATCATGATACACACATGTCATGTCTTGAAGTACTTGCCAGTAGATAGTGATTAGTGGCTTTGTGGCTCAGAGTTGATTACTCCCTCTATTGAATATTGAGGATGGGGCTCTATGATTTTGCATGAAATGGTACAATTTAGGAAAATCAATTTATAATAGTACCATTTACAAAGCAGTCGGTTCCTCACCGTTCAGGGTCTGTATCAGTTATAAAGACAACAATTGTGTTTTTTATGCTCAGTACATTTTAAATGTGGCCCAAACATGAATCTAAAAAAGGCACTCAAGGCTACATCCAATCTTATGTAACTCAGTATTAGAGAGTCAGCAGATAAGAAGTGACCTCTCTGTCATAAATGAAATTTATTTAAGCACACAGATACCCCAGGCCTTTCACATTCTCAAGAGCTGCCATCACCTCCTGCTGTCACTGAAACTGCGCAACAGGGAGGTCACAGAGACTAGGTCACTGTGAGGCTCTGTTCACTTACACAGAAATTATGACAGATTAAAGCACTTTAATCTTAGGCCAGTCTGTTTATATTGAAGAAAAAAGATCATCCAAAATCCCTCAGAACATGAGGTGTTACACCCCGCCTCATGCCAATGACACCAAACCAGACACACAAACCTGACAGCTTACCCAACTGCAGAGACCTCCACTGATGTTCTGATTAGCTACAGATGTTGGACCACAATAAACAACATAATTAGTCTATGATTTCACTTTTCGGTTGTGTGCATTGACTACAGCATGAGCCTCCTGCTGTGTTTAATGTCCCTGTGGATCTCAGAACACTGAGAGGAAATCATATTACACATCTCTAATAGCCACCCTGTTACTATATCAATTAGAATACGATTTTTTTAACCTTGAGAAACAGCATTGTGGGAGAAAATGATGAAATGCAGTTTTATGCAAGGAGAGTCACACCCTTCACCTTAGAAAGCGAAAACAGAGGAACGACAGATGTCCAAAAGTGGTGCAGTAGGAGATTTTACATGTGAAGCTGGAGTCCTTTGCTGTCTGCTGAGCTGAGATAACAACATGATTGAAACATTGTGTGTGTGTGAGACAGAGAGAGAGAGAGAGAGAGAGAGAGAGAGAGAGAGAGAGAGGAACTACATATAAAGTGTATTAAAGGACATAACACACAGAACCTGGCCTACACTATCCATGTCTCTCACAACTGTCTATCAAATCATTAGACTAACTTAAGTAATATTATGGACCTAAAAAGCAGCCAAAAGTTCCCATCAAGGGTCACAAACGTACTGCATTAAACTTTAAGGGCCTGTATGATGGCGCACCTGTCAGTTGTACATTACTTATGCATTAGTTTTACAGCAGCTACCAAATAATTTGTAGTCTTTACTGAATAATAAGCCTAGAGCTCAAGTAATAAAGAGAAAAGAAACTTATCGTTGTTATCATTACCAAACTTCTAATCATCAAATGTCAAACTTTTAAGCTAAGGAAAATGGTCCTAACATTAAAGGGTCCACATCATGGAAAAGTGAATTTTCCTCACTTACAGGTGAAATATATGTCTCGTGACACATATTTCATATATTGTGTCTCATGAGCTAATCAAACAATTTGCCATCTACTAATAACAAAATCTTGCAAATTTGATTAGAAAGTGGACATCAATCCTCAAAGGGCCCAGTAACGCTAAAATAAATAACTGGCTCAGCACTGTGATTTATCAGTCTACTCAGGCTTTAGCGGGAACCTCAGTGTTTGTAAAAAAGCAGTTGTTAGACTTCTTCTTCAGAGTACGAAGCTGATTTTAAAATGGTTATAAATAAGATTTACAGTGCTTCTTTTACAGATGGTCAATATTTTTACATTTTAGTGGGTAAGTATTCTAAAGGTGTAAAAGTATGTTAACGGTAACTGTATTCTGAATACTGCTGTTACAAAATGTAGCTTGGATGAAATACAGATACTTCATTTTTGTATTCTGAATACATATTTCCAGTACTTATATTCTGTTCCATCCCAGTCCTGCGAACCAGTACAGGCCTTTTAGCAAATATAACACACACAATAGTCAGGGTTTTTAGAACATACTATTGATGAGGGGTCTCAATGAAGACGCCTACCAGAATGAACTTTTGACTTATAAATCACAGACAGTCACCTGTCTATCATATTGATTCACAAAACCTGTTAGCCTTATACAAGATACAAAATACAAGAAACAACAATATTCACACAATGTAAATGACAGCTGGCAAGCAAAACTTACAAAATTGAAGAATGTATATGAAAAAATTAGTAATACAGACAAACAGAAAACCTTACCACATCTGTAGCCCTAACGCTGAGTACCTACTGGCACAGACTCAGTGAAGACGTATAGACACACATCCAACCCATTCCCCAAAGTAAAATCACTCCAGAGGAGCTTTTTATAAAGCTCAGCCCAGACAAACAGTCTGGGGCGGACTGCGTGCTGAGCTGCTGAACTCCTTTAATACATACAGAGCAAGATGCTCAATTATCTGTTAAATACAACACCTGAATGATATTTGCTGAACTCCTGATCTTATCACCAGTCTCAGTCAGACAGGCTGTGCTGAGGAGAGGCAGGACAGGCTCCTTAACACTTCTGCACATCTTAAAGCTCTTTAGGACATTCAGCACATCACGCCGTCCAGTGAAGCAAAGATATAACCAAACTAAAGCTTCACTACTCCAGCTGACACACAACACCAGAATGTTCACTTACCTCTTAGTCTTTATTCACTCTTAACTCTCAATCTTCATTCATTTAACTGTTCATTTGGTAACAGTTTATTTGAATGGTCAGCTGTAGAAGCTTAAAGAGGAACTCTACCTGTTTTTCAAAATTTCTGCATAATTAAATGGTTAGGATGTAAACAAAGTCATTCAGAGCAGTCTGGTGTGAAATGTTCCATTCTAGAGAACTTTACAAAGTTAGAATTGTTCAGTGGTGGTGACAGGAACTAGACATCTGAAGTGTTTAATGGAGAAAGGTATGTATTTGGACCTTTTCATTACCTATTTTTAAAAACAGAACAATAAAATAAAAAGGCTGGATTATGGTACAATTATGGTCCCTAACTAAAGGTACTAAGACATACCCTTGAGGGTTCCACCCCAGTAAATAGGTACTGCCTCAATGACAGTTTAGTACCATTTTTTTTTTGTAACAGAACATAGCCCTACTTTTAACCCTAAACCTGGTTCTAATACTAATCCTAACTCTAGTACTATTGACAAATAATTAGATTAGATTATTTAAAAACATTAGATTATTAAAAGGTACAAATTTTTACTTTTCCACTAGCAAAAACTTATTGAAGGTATAGAATTAGACCTTAAAACCCTTGTTATACCTTTGAAGGTACATTTACACTGTTTGTACCTTGATGAACCAAAAACGTACCTTCACAGTCCCTTTTTCTGACAGTGTAGATCATCATTAGAGATGTTTTCTTCAGCTGTTTGTGTTTTCATTTAGGCTGTTTTCTATTCTGCAGTCAGTCAAAGCTTAGAATTGCATGTACAAAGCAAAACATGATCCTGCACAAATGCAAAGGGGTCACAGTGTAACTCACGGTAGCTGCAGGCTGGATCTCCAGCTCTCTGTGGTTCTGCGTGGTGAGAGTCTCCACTCGTGCACAGCTCGGATCAGCAGTGGGACACAAGACCTTCACCACGGAGCGCAGCGCACTGCTACTCATCCTCACTCTGTCTGTCTGTCTGTCTGTCTCTCTCTATGTGCGGGTCCCTGCAGATGGACAGAGTGTGTATAGCCTACAAGGTGTGTAAGTCTTACACACGCTGTGTTCTTCTCTCTGCTGAACAGATGAGGAGGAGCTGCACTTTCATTACAGCACACTTCTAACATTCACACAGCCTCTCCTCCCTGGGAGGCTGTGCTTTGGCTATGCAAGCCCTGATTGGTCCTTTCCTGCTCTGGCTCCAGCCTAGCCCAGCCCACCCATCATCACACCCACCTGTTCATCACTTACAGACTCATCACGGCCAGCGGTGGGCAAAATACTTTTAAAAATTTGTGATGGCCGAATACCGAATACACTGTCCTGAATATGTTCAGTAATGTATTGTGTTACAAAAAAATAAATAAGTGACATATTCAGAAAACATTTTGAACACATTTACGATACATCTTGATAAGGCAGATGGGAAAAACTTTTTTTCACTAAATTCATATGATTCTTCTGACCACAGAACCACTCTTGAGCAGGTATTGACCAGGAAGTGACATAGTTGTGTGAGTGACGCTGCTGTGCGTGGAGTTCTTACACACATCAGTGTACCTGCTGGGTTGAGAGTGCAGACAGAGCACAGCCCATGCCCCCCTCCCTCTTGCCAAGAAAATAAAGGAAATGGAAAAATTGGATTCTGGATTCTCTGAATCTTTTCATGATATTATGCACCATAGATGATGAAAATTTGTTATGCAGTCATTCAGAGTGGTGAACACCACCCCATCTTTACTTCTGAAGGACTCAGCTGCTCTTTTTATACCCAATCATGTTACTGACCTGTTGCCAATTAGTTGTTAATTAGCTGAGATGTTCCACCAGGTATTTTTATTGCATTACACAACTTCACCAGACTTTTGTTGCCACTGTCCCAACTTTTTTGAAACATGTTGTTGGCATCAAATTCAAAACAGGTATATTTTTTTCAGAAAACAATAAAATTTCTGATATGTTGCCTTTGTACAGTTTTCAATTAAATATAGGATTTAAATGATTTGCACATCATTGCATTTTGTTTTTATTTACATTTCGCACCGTATCCCGAGGGTTTTCATGAAACATGGTTGTATATATAGTTGTTGAGGCTTGCTGAGGTTTAATTTTTATTCTAAACGTACAATTTCTGCTTTTTTCTGATATTGAAAAACAAACAACCTTTACTTTATGTGGGTTTTGATGGGAAAATAAACAAATGATACCAGATAGCCACAAAAAGCTTTCTTTACTTTATAGCCATATTAGACTTGTAGCTCCAGTACAAGCTAATTAAGCAAACTCCAGAGACCAAACGTGTCTTGCCTGATCGGCTACATCTGGGCTAAGATGAAAATTGTATACATTTTATTTTCCACTGAACTCTCCACCGAGAGAGAAGTAGTGGATTAAATGCCTCAGCTGTTTCTTTGGGTTTGTTCAGTGTTCAGCAGGTGGTGAGAGGCACCACTGAGTCAGAGAAAGATGAGTGCAGGTCAGATTCAGTCAGACAGCAGGGGTTTGCTTTTGTGTGGTACATGGGGGAGATGCCCGGTGGGCTGCAGCTCTAACACACCTGGGCTCAGGGAGGCAGGAGGAAATGCATGCTGGTTTACACATCCATCAACACACGCTCACACACTCAGAGCTGAGGTCACACCCCCAACCCGTAGGTCTCATCCTTTCTGTCAGAAGCTTCCCTGAAGCATCTTTACACAGCTTAATTCACTCACACACTCCATTCATCAGATCTGTGTCCATCTGCTGAAAACAGCTTTATTTTACACAGAGCTTTAGACCGAGGCTAACACACACACACACACACACACACACACACACCCACGCACACACACACATACACACATATCAAAATCTATTATATAGGCTACCCCTGTTGCCCCTACATTGTAAAGGTAAAACCTGAAATTTTAAGTCCACCTTCTGCACAGTTCTTTTTTAAAAGAATTCAGCTTAGTGTTGTCCATACTTTTCCTTTTGGTAAAATAAATAAATAAATGAAAGCATCATATTATTTTATACGACATCTTATGGTAGATCAACAAAACAGTTTAGGTTGACCTTACTCAGAATTTTTTTTTTTTTATATTGGTCCATTCATCATCAAATTCTCAAACAATGTAAAGGACAGCCTCTGTGTTTAAATGATGTAGAAAAATTCAAATTGATAAAAATGGAGTTGTTTTTTACACGCTTAAAAAAGATGGTTCTTCAAGGAATCTTCAGTAAAGACAATGGTTCTATATAGATAACTCAAAGAACCATTTGTAAGTCTAAAAGGTCTAAAGATCAGACATTTCTGTTCCCAAGAAAGAATGAAAAAGGTGAAGTAGCTCAAAGCAGTGCGATCTGCGCTTGTTACTGTCTGCACTTATTATCAAATGTCAACATGTTTTTGATATTTATTGAGAGTATTTTGATAGCAGTTATGTGAAGACGGGGCAAAAAACCCAGGACTAGTTTGCAAAAGTGAGTTTTGCATGTTATGCAAATGAGCAAAACATCTAAGTAGGCAGAATTTATCTAAGTGGCTGGTGCTTTTTTATTTGACTTGAGCCAAGGAATCAGTAGAATTTTTTTTATATGTTTGACTCAGAGTGTAGGGGTTATAGGCCAAAACATACAATGCTGTGTTGTAGTGCTCCCTTCAGGCTGATTCAGCTCATTTCACTTGCCTGTGTAGTGGGACAGAGTACTTACTATTGATCAGGTTTCATGTCTGTATGATCTACAGTTTGGTCTGCATGATTTGTTTTAGGAAAAGAAGAAGAAACGCAAGAATAGGAAAAATTCTTACAGTTACAATGCTGGAGCCCTACTGGCCTCACCAATTGCCCTCAGAGGAATCTCTGATGACATCTTAGCTCAAGTGAAGTTTGTTAGATGAGCACTAAAAGGGGTGTGGGATTGAATGAGTTTGCACTGAAATCATTGCAATCTAAGGCAGCTTCCTATTAAAACCCCATAAAAATGCAGGACAAAGCTAATACAAAATGTATGGTTTCAAAACTGTAGCATCTGATTTGCTTTATTCAGACTGGGATTTATGCATTACTCTGCTAGTTCGTTAGTTAGCAAGCTAAAGACTGTTTAGTATGTTACATGTCATACATGTGTGCTCTCACCAAGACAAATTCTATGCATGTGTAACATAATTGGCGAAATAAAGTGATTCTGATTCTGACTGAACTTGCTGTTTCTTAATCCTCCTCCATATTGTGTATGAGTTGTGATGTCTCTTCTAACATTTTGTTTAAATATTTCTCCCTTGTAGGTCACTGAATCAAACTATAGAGTATTTCTGTCAAAAGTGTGGAATTCAGTCCATTATACATTTGTAACTGTAAGTGTATAAGAGGAGCTCTTGCTATGATCTGAATTTGGTGAAAAAGTATTGTTGTGCAACAGTCTTATTTTTGCAGGACCAACTTCTGTAATTGTGAAAACTTGTCAATACAGAATATAAATCCAATGTAGGCTTAATTCATGAGCAATTCATGACTTAACTATGTAATAACCTATTAATAATCATATAATGCAGCATGTGTAGCAAAATTATAGCAAAATGACAGTAAAACTTTTAAATATTCACTTTTAAAGATCAATATTCTTGTGCTCAGAACAGCTGAAATTTGATCTTTATATGGAAACCCAATTTCTGCTGTGATAACTGACTGTCATGCAATACAGGGCAGATGCAGGCCAGACACCTACAAACGGAAGGATTATTGTTCACATCTACTCTACTCAACTCTATACTCATCAGTCTAATGGAGAGACCATCTCCATAAACCTACTGACCCGCTCCACAAAAACCACCCAAACTATGTCATACTGAGATAATAGTGACACACTTTCAGCTAAAATTCTTACTAAATGACCCACATGCTATGACCTTGAAGCTCACATCTCCAAAGCTGGTTGAATTTTCTGCTTTTATTCTACATTCAAAGATATTACAGAGATGTTGTGATGTTGATATTACAGAAACTTCCTATCTTTTTGTCTTAAGATCTGACAGGTCAAGATAAGATTTCTCACAAATTCATATTACAGAAGGAAATCTTATCGTGATTTAGGAATCTTATCTTACAGCATCTTATCTCAAGTTAAGAAGTCTTAAATTACTCGATCGAAGATCAACTGTCATGTCTGTTACCTAGCAACCGACCATACGCGCACAGCTAAACCATAAACGCATAATTAAAGTAATCAAGCTAGTTAGCCAGGCAGCTGGTACAGGTCAAACAAAACTGAAGCGCGATAAACTTGAGGTTAACAATGTTGTGTCAGCACTTCGTGTGGTTCATCAGAGCGTCGCAGCTGTCCACTTTCAGTTTAAGTTTTCCAAACAATTTTGCTGACCACACTAACGTTATTCCTCCTAATAAACACACGTTCAGTTCTGTCTCTTCATTTTTCACCACCATCACTGTAATATTATATCTGATGAGTTTTCATCAACATTAATACACAAAGGTTCAATGCTTCAAATTATTAAACACATCTTTGGATCTAAAATTTCTTATTTAATTTGTTTTTGTGTATTTCAATAAACTGCTTCTGAAATCTCTTTCCAGTGGAAAACATCTCAAATATGCCTTCAGATACATTTTGTAGGACATCTACTGTCCAAAAATCATATGTGCCCATTTGATATGAAGATTTACAGCCTCAGCTATAGTAGTTGAGCAGTAACTAAGTGCAGTGTGCATCCAAGATCTGTCAGCAGGTAAAGAAGTAACAAGCACATAGTTGACCAGTACAATATAGTTAACAAAGAGTATTTTCAGCCACTTTTTAATATTAGTGTATTTTCTGAAATGTGTATTTGAACTGTACTTTGAATTTCTTTAATAATCTCTCCACTGCAGGTAAACCAGCTACCCACCACAGGCAGCTTTGAGAATGCATTTTTTATGGGTTATCTCTGCTTGTAAAGGCTGCAAAGCCTAAAGCGG